GCAGTTGAACCCATAATTGAGTCCCCATGGCCACACACTGCTAGAGCCAAATCTGACACGGTCCTGTTTAGAGGGGGGGAAAAATGTGTGCGAGAGAAGACCCACTGACTTTCTTTAAAAAGTTGTTCTGGGGGCCGGGGAGATGGCTCAGTAGAATAAGCGCTTCTCTGGCAAACTCAAGGACCTGAGTTCAATCCCCGGTTCCACCAATTTAAAAAAAAAGATAGAAAGTTGTTCTGGTTCTGGGATGCTTGGAACGTGGGAAGTAACTGGCTCTCGGAGCCGACCCGAGGCCACCTGCAGTACCAGGCCGCGCAGCGCGTCGCCCCCCCATCCTAAACCCCAGATCTAACCCTGATCCCCAACCTGACCCTGACCCTAACCCTAAGCAGAACCGTAACCCAGGCCCTAGATCCTAACCCGCCGCGCCCCCCGCGCCCCTCGCGCCCCCCTACCCGGGCCGCACGGCCGCAGCGGCGGCGCCCACGCCGAGCAGGAGCAGTGCGGTGCGGAGCGCGCAGCCGTGCATCCTGAGGATCCGCCGGGTCCCGGCTCTCCACGGCGAGGTCTGGGGCGGCGGCGCCAGGACGGTGCAGCCCAAGCGCGGTCCCTCGCTGCCCCGCGGCGTTGGGCAGGCGGAGGAGGCGGAGCCGCGGCCGAGGGCGGAGCAGCCGACCTGGGCCGAGCGTGAGTCAGAGCCGGGCGGGGGCGGGCGGAGGGACCCGGCCCGCGCACCCCTCGCGGGCGGCGGGGGAGGGACGGGGCGGAAGGCGCGGGCTCGCCTCCTCCCCGCGGGCGCGCTGCGCCTGCCCTGCCGGTGGGACCCCGGCCTGCCCCGGCCACTGCTCGGCCCGGCTGGGCGCGCCTCGACCCTGCAGTCCTGGGCGCGGGCGAGCAAAGGGCGTGGGGTCCCCCGAGACGACGCCCGCTTTCGCTTCGTGCGGGTAAACCAGAGTCGCTTACGCGAGGGCACTTGTCAGAAGGACCCCAAAACCAGGGTTGGTAGCGCTGTATTCCAAGACCTCCGGAGGCTTAGAACCACCCAAAGTCGAAAGTCAGGTTTTAAATGTATGCGATCCCGTTTATGCGTTCCGCGCGTCACAACGCAGATTTGCTGAACGGTTTAACCTTACAGAAATTTCTACATCTGAATTCATGTGAAGACAAGGCTAGTTCATGCCCGGCATAGAGTAGTTACTCAATTTAAAAATAATTCCTTTTTTTCAATTGTTTGTACTTTTTCTTTTCTTAATTTCTTATACATTGCTCCAGTTTTTTTCTTCTTCCAATTTTATGTGTATATATCTGATAATTTGAATAGCTGGTTGTAAGACAATACCATGTATTACAACAAATACTGTGAAATTCATATTATTTTGTTAAGTAAAATTCTGTATGAGTTGTCAATAATAATAATAATAACTGTTAGAAGGATTAATGAATATTTGTCTCAGAATTATATTTATTTTTTAAGGAAAACAGAAAGTGGTTTGAATCTCTAACAATACAAAATAGGGTGCAGGGACAGAGGTTCGGTACCCCTTTCCACATAGCGCTCCCCCACCCCAGCCGACAACCGAGTCCGAGCGTGGTGGCACCGGCCTGTAATCCCGGCACGGAGGAGGCTAAAAACAGGAGAAGGAGGATGAATCCAAGCTGCATTGTGAGACCCTGTACCAAATACACAAAATGAAAAAAAAAAAAAAAAAGATTGGGTTAAAGCAAAGGATTGTATAAAGTAAAAATTACGTGGTTGAACTGGGCACTAGCTAACAATCTAGAGACGAACATTCATGGTATGGAATAGGGAGTATCTGGTTAATAAAACAATTTAAATGTGATTTCGTTTTTATACAAATAAAATGTATGCGTACATTTTTACATTGTAATCACATAAAGACTTCACAAATAGTATCTGCATCCTGGTGATGACCAAGTTCCCTGCAATTGTTTGCTTTAAGCAGAAAACAATAAGATGGCATTTTTTTGGCACTAGCATTCTTTGTACTTCTGTCTCTCCTGACCGTTTGTTGTGGTTTAATAGTTGTCCCCCAAAAGCCTCATGCAATGATGGGGCGGCAGCCTTCTAAAGTTTGTCACTGACTCATGATCCAACCTGGGGGGATTAGTGGTGTGAGCGCTACACCCGCCCCAGCGCCGGTAGCCTGAAGGCAGTTATAAGGAAGGGAGAGGCTTCCCTGGGCTGCTCCTCCCGTTTGCTCTTGCTGTTTTGCTGTTTTCCGCCGCCATGAAGAGCTGCCCTCTGCCATGTGCCACTCTGCCTTGGAGCCAGCTGATGACCGACTGAAACCTCCACAC